TATAGGGTGCTGAGCATCATCGATAACCTCTACACACTATATGCCAGTAGCATTTCCTGTAGTTGTGACAACCAAAACATTGCCAAATGGTCCCCTGGGGAGGCAAAATAGCTCCCAATTGGCAACCATTCCTCTAAGTCAATTTTTAGAATTAGATTGCTATTTAGCATTTTTATTGCTTTTAATACAGTAAGAAATGAGTCTCTATTTAAGACAACTAGTTTTACTTATTTGTAATGACACTAGATATTAGTAATTTTATTAGTAAAGTTTAAAATATTGAGTAAGGATTCGGAGATGAATCTTTCTATTTTATTTCTAAACAATACTACAATATTAAATTACTTGATCTTATCAAAATCCAATAAAATTTCAAATAATTTGCAACACCAGTTGTCAAATAGATTTGAGAGCTTAAATGTGAAAGAATCTAACTACAAGAAATCCAAAGTAGGAAATAACACTGGAGTCATACCGGTAATGCTGAAGTAATAACTGAAAAGTGAAATGAAAAGCAAAATAAAGTGAAACAGCTTCCTTTGCTAGTGAAATCAGATGTAGGATACTGTAATGATACATCTAATGGGGCTTCAGTGACTATTACATCCAATTCCATCAGTTCGCAAATGAGATTTAAATTAAAAAATTTAATTAAAAATTTTTTTAAAAGTTTAAGGAACTTGCCAAAAGTAAACCAGTTAATAAATAGCATAAGCAGGGCTTAAACACCAATAGTTATACTCGGAATTCAATGTTTTTTTCTACTTTACCCTTTTGTTGCATACAGCTAATTAGACAATTTTCTAGCTTGCCATAATTATTATATAATACGCATTATAAGGCTGAACATTAAATTCATACATACAGAAGCTCCTGGAGAGATGAAACTCTCTGTTTCATGTTGTACTTCCTTCTTTTTAAAAAGTTTTGAATCCCGGAGAAGTTTAAGTGTGGAAAATACTATTGCAGCACTAAAATAGAGAATATGTTTTAAATGTTATTAGTATTACACTTGGGGTGTTTTTGTTACTTCCTAAGGCTCTTCCCACACTCACACATGACCCCCAAACCAGTTAGGCGCCCCCTTCTACATGCCCTAATAGTACCCTGGTCTTAACCATGCAGTGGTA